CATATGCATAGGTGACAAAAACATGCTTGACAACAAGTACTGTAAATTCAACTGACAACATTAGCTCTGAAAATAGTAAAATAAAATTTGATGATCATAAAAGCAGTGCTCTTTTAGTAAATAAGTAGGAATCACATAAGATAATAAAGAATCTTACCCATTGAATGTTCTAAATTAACTACTGGTTGATCATATGTTTTATTTTTATTTTTATTTTTAAATTAAATTAATTATGTTTAAATTAAAATAATTTGTTTTTTAAAAGTTAGTATACAAAATGTTATCAAATTTGATAAAGATAATGCTAATCTTAAAAAGACTAGGTCTTCACACAACCAAATTCTATTTGCACTTTCCGGAACCCCAAGTCATTTAATAATTTGTAATTTACATTTGATAAACATGCATTTCAAGGTATGTTGTTGAACGAATATTACAAATATCGTTGTATTTTCAAGGTATGTTATTGAACGAATATTACAAATATCGTTTTAAATGTAATATTGGTAATAAGAAGTATTTTTATTTGTCATATGATGTGGTATTTTTATTAGATTATGTGTTAATGTGTTATATTAGGTTATATGGATTTATATTTTGTAAATGTTTATGTAGATGTGTGTTCTGTTAGTAATTAATATGTGCTGTCAACTCTGGATAACTTGATAACCCCATGATAACTTAAACTAATTTTGAAATTCCAGTTAAACCTTTATTTATGAAACTCTATCATTCTCTTACTAGCTAATATCTTAGTCCCTTTGAGGTTTGAGTTATTGATATTATTAAATTAAAGTTGATGTCTATCATTAAAAATGATTATACATATATATTTATATATATATATATATATATATATATATATATATATATATATATATATATATATATATATATATATATATATATATTTATTATATTGTTATATATTATTTTTATGACTATATATATATATATATATATATATATATATATATATATATATATATATATATATATATATATATATATATATATATATATATATATGTAATTATATACATTTATATATTTATATACGTATATATATATATATATATATATATATATATATATATATATATATATATATATTATATATATATATATATATATATATATATATATATATATATATATATATATATATATATATATATATAGTAACAAAAATAATAAAAGTAAAAAACACTTCAATATATCATCAATATAGAACCTATTTATCATAGAACCTATTTTATAGGGTTTTCCTAAAATGAACATTTTTGAACAATATATGCTTCCACCCACCTAATGTGTTTTATATAATAAAAAAAACTGGTTTTTAAAATATTTTGAATAAAAAATACTTTGAGGACTCCCTCAAGACCCTTGAACATAACAAGTTCCAAATATTATTAAAAAAAAATATTTAAGTATATCATGTCCCGACGGGCATTTGTTTTTAAAAGTTACGTTCTAAATGTGTTTTAAACGTCTTTTAAACGTCTTTTAAATATTAATGTTTAAAAGACGTTTAAAAGACATTTAAAATACATTTAGATCGTAACTTTTAAAAACAAATGCCCGTCGGGGTTGGTCTCAAATGAAGCAAAATTATATGAAAATTTAAATGTTAGATTTAACGCCATAAAAAATGAAGCTTATTATTATTATTAATAAACTAATAAAAAGAAAAATGTGCATTTTTATCAGTTTTTGACAATATTTTTATTTTTTTTACTAACTTTTTTAAATATAATTATCATATTTGAAATTTTCATGATTTTGCTTAATTTGATGCGAAATGTCAAGATACACTTTTGAAGATTTTTTTGTTGATAATATTAGGAACTCGTTATATGTTTAAGGGTCTTGAGGGATTTTGAAAACATTTTTTCTTCAAAAAATTTTTAAAACCAGTGTTTTTTTTATCATATAAAATACATTTTTATAATATAAAATTTTACATACAAATAATTTTTATAATACAAAAGTATTTTGATAATAAATCCTTTTTATGTTACTTTTACCTGCAGTACCAGAAATCAGCTAAATTGCTAATATTATTTTGTAATATATACATTTTTAATTATTTACCTCTACACTGACTACAGATGAAGAAGCTATTTTTGTGGTTACAACCCTTTCCATTATATATATATATCATACATATGATATATATATATATATATCATACATATAAAACATATTTATCTGAAGTTTAAAAAAAAAAATTTGAAATCCTACAGTCAGATTTTTGGAAATTTTCAAATAAGTAAACAAATCTATGATTTACACTAAAAAGGTATTAAATAAAAATAAAGTTTAAGCGGGCTTAGATTTTTATTACCTCTTTTTATTTATATTTTTGTAAAAATTTTTTATAAGTAAGGCTACATCATGGGCTTTTCAGAAATTAATTAACAAATAAACTGTTGCCATATAGAATATTTTCTGTAGTTAAGAACCGTAGCCGTTTAAAAGTTCAAAAGTTTTCTGTATTTTCTTACGCATGCGTACCTAAACATAGCGCTTTTATAATATCTAAGCGACCGTGAATTCCAAATAAATATATTAAAAATCCTAAGAAAGAAAACTAAAGAAAAATCTTAGTTTGTTGATCTTTATTATTCTTTTTATTTATTTCATTCATTAATTTTTTTTTTTAACTTTTATTTTCATTGCTTTTTACTTAAGTTATTGCAGATATTTTGTTTTCTTTTCTTCTTGTAAAATATTTATTTATTTTAATTCTATTTTAATTTGGGGCTGTCCATTAATTACGTCAACAAATTTTTTAAAATTTTTACCTCCTTCCCTCCCCTTTGTCAACAGTTAGTCAAATTTCCAGAGACCCCCCCTATAAAATTACGTCAATTTTTGATTACCCCCCCCCCTATATAAAGTTGCTACGCTACAAATTTTCCATTATTTAAGCGATGAAACTCATTAAAAAAAAAAAAAAAATTGTTGACATGTTGACTTTGATTGACCTCCCCCCTGCCCTTTGTCAACAACTGTCAAAAAAGTTCAGACCCCCTCCCCATATTTTGTTGACGTAATTAATGGACAAATGTTTTCTTTTCCCTTTTTCTATCTACCTTTTTATAAAAGTTATTTCTAATTATTAGAAAAAAGCGTCCACCATTTCTAACTTTTAGAAAAATGCTTCCATCATTTCTAACTGTTAGAAAAAAGCGTTCACCATTTTTAACTGTTAGAAAAAAGCGTCCACCATTTGCAATGTCATTGCAAAGAAATGTTTTTGTCAAGTATCATTCTAAAAACTTCATGATGACTCTCTTATTATTTTGGAATTGCCGATATAAAAATCAGGAAGTTTTAATGGAATGATTTCTTTATTATGAAGTCTATAAAAAAGTATGCTTAGTTTTATTTAAAGTTAAGATAGTTTGTTCGTCTGAAACCATTCCGTTAGATTTAAAAGTTCCTTGTACTACTTTAAAAGTTTGATTTCTTCATTAGAGCAAATAAATTCGTGTCATCTGCACGTAGAACAGAGTTTTAAATGTTTGAAAATTTATGGAAACCATTTACATAAATAAGAAAGAATAGGGGACACAGAATTGAACCTTGGAGAAATCCGCAATTTATAGTTATGTAGCAAAGTTTTCTTTCTACATATGATATGTATTGTTGAGACTTTTAGGTCAATCTAAATATGTGCTTTTAATACCATAATTTTTAAGTTTTTTTATAAGAATATTATGGTCTACTGTATTGAAAGCTTTGTTAAGATCTATAAAAGCTCTAAGGGTACACTGATAAAATACTGGTTAAGTGTTTCGGGAGTTAAAGATTTGTTTGTAATAATTTTATTATCAATAGTTAGATTTTTAGGAACAATATTTCTATCAGTTTGTTTCTTACCAATTACATTCTTAATAATGTTTCAAGTATTTATCAGATCATGTTTTTGTCTTTTTAACTGCTCGGTATAGTAATTTCTTTGGCTTTTTATTAACCTCAAAAATTCGTTTATAATTTTTATAATTCGTTTTACTTTTTTGAGAAATTTATTACAAAGTGTATATGCATATGCACTCGTTGAGCGCATTTGCACTCAACTTTGGTTGATATTTAATGTTATAAAAATTTAAATATAAAGCTTCAAACCAAGTTACAATTTAGAGATTTAAAAAAATTATTCTTAAAAACCATAAACATGTGTAAAAAACAATAATGTGCAGGAAAATGCAATGTTAAAATGTTGGCTATCAAAAAGTAAAAGCAAATATGTTTCTAAATCTGAATTTTAAGAAAAATGTTTCCAAACGCAAGGTATAATGTATAATAATATATACTACCTATTTGTGACGGATCCATGATTATTTGGTGTTTAAGATAACTTCCCGACAAGAACATGGAGCATTCAATCTTTTGTATGTTTATACTTGTGTCAAATAATAATGTTTTGCAAAAAATAGCTATAATTAAATGTTGGGAACGAAAAACCATTTGACTTCATCACCCTCACTCCTAAACGTGAGGGGCAACAAGTTGAAAAAATATTTTTTGTACTATTCTCAACTAGACTTATATTCATTGATAGATTTTAAGTTTCATCGTAATATCTCTTAGCGTTAAAATATTATGACCATATAAAGTTTAAATCCCCCTCAATTTAAAGGGGTTACAAATTTTATATGGTCATATTTATTGAACGCTGATAGATATTACTATGAATCTTAAAATATGTCGATGGAATATAAGTCTAGTTGAAAATATTACAAAAAATACTTTATCAACTTGGAGACCCTCGCGTTTAGGGTGGGGGCAGGGGGAGATAAGGGATAAAGTTAAAGGGATTTTTGTTCCCAGCCTCCAATCATCACAATTTTTTGCAAAGCCTAATTATTTGACTTAAGTATAAGCATAACAATGTTTAGAGTTTGCTCCATGTCAGGAATTTAGCTCAAACACCAAAAAATCCTGGATCCGTCACTGCTACCTATAACCTTTAAAAAAAACGAAAAAAATACAAGAGAAACCATATAATCAAAATAGATATACAAGATGTAAAGAATAAGAAAAGTAAAAAACTGACAAAAACTACAACTACAAGCTTATCATTGTCTCAAAACCCATTTAAAAGTTTTACTGAAATCTAACGCAACGTTGTCTATCGCAAAAGCACTTTGGTGAAACTCGAGCTTTATAAGTAACTAAACGTTCATTTCGATTACATTTAGTTATTGATAACGGACACAAATCGATGCAACTAGATTGATTTATTCCATCACAAGTGCACTTTGCTGTACACTTTGCATTAATGAATTTTTCACCAACTTTATAAAATTTTCCGTCCATCAAACAGCCTAAAATAAGTATATATATATATATATATATATATATATATATATATATATATATATATATATATATATATATATATATATATATATATATATATATATATATATATATATATATATATATATATATATATATATATATATATATATATATATATATATATATATATATATATATATATATATATATATTAAATCAAAGTTACAAACCGTTCGTTTTTTCATGCGAAGGCTTTAATAAAATCATTGCAACTAAAAAGAAAAGTAGTTTTTTAAGCAATCCAAAAGATATATTATTTGGCTTTGACATTTCTTCTGTTGTTTGCTTTGAACTTGTTAAAAAATTAAACACTGTTAAATGTCTTCCTAAAGGCAATTTAATTTATTTCTTAAATGTTCACTGCGGTTTACTAATGATTTTATAGTTTTTTTCTAATATCTGAGTTAATCCAAAAGAAACCATCAAATTATATATTGGTTTGAAAATTGCAAAATTGTGGTAAATTTTTTTTTTGTTTTTAAAAAATAATTTCCCTCGACTATTATATTTGCTTATGAGCATCATATAAAAAAACTGTTGCGTATGTACGGTCAAGGTGTGTAGGAAGTCTATTTCTCAATTGGAAAACACTTTTAGAACTCCTTTAATTTAACTAACTGATCTTAATCTTTAATTTAACTAACTTTTAATTTACTTTAATAACCTTGAATAAACTTTTAAAACCTTTAATAAACTAATCTTTAATTTAACTTAATCTTTTATTTAACTAACTGATCTTTTACGCAATCCTCATTGAGATCATTTTTGGATTAAGTATAAGTTTATTTTTTTTTTGGGGGGTTTCTAGTATTATGGGTCTTACTAGCAGATAAATTTGGTAGGGAACCTTAAATGCAGATGTATTTTTCATTAATACATTGCTTAATAAATAATTGGTTAAAGAAATTATGATCATATTTCTGCCACCAGGGTACTACTATCTCCATAATCACCATGTAACTAAATTTGTTGATCTCCCACTTACTAAAACAAATTTGAAAAATTAAAAAAAAAACAAAAACTGCCAAGTTATTAAAGCTTTTTGTTTTTAATATTTTTAAAATCGATCTTTAGGACATTTAGCCAAAATGACGCTTACCTTTTTTTTATTGAAATTTTTTTTTTAATTTTTGTTTTAGATGCCCCAAAAAGACCTAACGGTCTTGTCACTGGGTAACGAAAAAGAGAATTTAACTAGGATGTTCTTGCTTCTTTCCATAGCGATGGCGCTGTCATATTGCGTAGCCATAGTGATGGCGCTGTCATATTGCGTAGCCATAGCGATGGCGCTGTGATATTGCGTAGAAACTACTACTAGAGTAGTTTTTGCACAATAACACAGCGCCAATGGTATGGAAAGTAAGAAAATAGCTTCAAAAAAAACTGAAAAAGAAGCAAGAAAGAGGTTAACTTATTGTAGTAATGAACTATTTTTCGTGATTGGATTAAGAAAGAATAATAACTAATATATATTTTTATTTTATTACTATTAATTAAATCATCATTTTATACTAAAAAATAAAGAAATTCAATGATATTAAAATTAAAAAAGTTTCAAAAAAAAAAATGTTTCAAAAAATGTTCATATTGAAAATCACTCAACTTCACTTAGTAACCTTTATAAGGATGGCGAGGTAACGGAAAAAATAAGGATGGCGAGGTAACGGAAAACATTCTGATTCTTCTGATTCAAACCTTTTAAGCCTGAATGCTATCGTAAATGATAATAAAATGCTGTCGTAAATGATAATAAAATGCTATCGTAAATGATAATAAAATGCTATCGTAAATGATAATAAAATGCTATCGTAAATGATAATGCAACAACCATCCTACATATGAATATTAAAAGTATTTAAAAAAATTTAAGAAATTATTTAGGTTTTAAAATTATATTTGTAACAGAAACATGGTACCGAGATAAAGAAGTTAAAAATATTACAAGCGTTTATCTTATTAATTATAAAGTTGTTCATTAAATTTGAGTTTTTAAAAAACAGTTTTTTACATATGAAACTGCGAAAAAATTGTATTTAAGAACAAAAGATTACAAGTTATTAACAATACGTTAAAACTAAATTTCGGACTCCATTTTTTGCATTCTTGCCATTTCTAACGCTGACGTCAAAGTTTAATTTTTGTAATATATTATAACGGTCATAATTCTTATTTTTTAATTACGATATTATAGCTGATGATGCTGGTAACTATAATCCAGCGAAAATTTTAAATAAATTAACAATAGTATTGAGAGAACTCGTATTAATTGGTGTTTTTATATTTTTTAAGTTATTAACAATCATGGTGATAAACGACACTAGAGAAAACGGTAATTTTTACACGTCATATATATACCGCCTTCAGGTAATAAAAAATAATTTATAAAATAATTTAAATGTTTAATTACAAAAATAAAAAAATAAAAAAGATAAATTTGGCAAATATATTTATTTTGTGACACGATTTTAAATGAGTTTAAATCGCCGAAGAGTTTAATAAAAAAAAAAAATTAAGTCAGAAATTTTATTAATACTTTATTTAAAAATGGTTTCATAGAATAATATTAAATGCTCATATTTTCTAGTTTTTTATTTTTTGTCATATTTTCATATTTTCTAGTTTTTTGGTCCCCAAGAAGACCTAATGGTTTCGTCAGAACGCACCGCAAAAGAGCATTTAACTAGGACGTTAACACCTCATTTCTTACCGAAGTCGCAAAATACACCTAGAGCTCGATTCGAACTCTGAACTTCCCTGGGTGCGGATTCACAAAAATTTTTAAGGCGTAAGTTTGGAACTTATGCCAAACCAAGGAAGTATAAAACAGATGGAAGTTCAACCGTATTGAAATTCTTCGGGACTATGCTTGTAACCTTTTGTTTCGTAAACAAAAAGAAAACGACATTAAGGCTGTAATTAATCGCTTAATAATTATACGTTGACGCAAATAGGTATGTTTACAATGATTTAAAAATATAGTATTTCAAAGGTTCGCCAATAATATTCAAGAAAAACATTAAAAATAGCGCAACGAAATGGCAAACAACAACTTTTTTATAAACTTCGTATTAAATGAATGGAGTACTACAAGAATGAATGGATTTATGATATACAGCTAATCAAACTTTAAACTTTAGTCATTTAGAAAACAATTTTTTCATTTTTTAAAAACTGTTTTAGTTGCTTTTTAATCAAATGTCGTATTATGATTTGAAGCAAGAAAAGATGCTTTTCAAATAAAGTGGTTCTATTTAACTAACATATGCTTTTGAAACCAAGTGGTTCTATTTAACTACCGAGTTTTAATAAACCTTTTGCTGAAAAACTGCAATTACTAATGGTTAAAACCTTACAGCATACCCCTAGAATAATTCATTTTTTAATGTTTTAATAAAAATGATTTCAGTGAATTTTGTTTTTTGTCCAGTAAAACTTGTTTTTTTATATTGTTGGTTACAAGCATACTCCCGAGGCGACTTGAAATTGCTTTGATATTTGCGGCTCAATGAACTTCCATTTTTTATATACTTCCTTAGCCAAACTTACTAATTTCGCATTTACAAAACATGCGTACAAAATTTGTGATTTATCTTGTGTAAGTTCAAATCTTAAATTATGGCATTCACAAAACTTCTTAAGAAAATGCTCAGCTTGATTTAAGCAAGAAAAGTTACGTAAGGTAGGAACTACCTTAAAATATTGGCGCAGCTCACATATATTGATTTTTTTGTTAAGATTTGTGATAAGATTTTTAAAAATTTGTGATAAATATAGTGTAAATATCCCTTATATAATTTTAATATAAATTAATAAATTCTCTATACTATACTATAGTATACTTAAAACCCTATAGTCTATAGAGTATGTCACATATATACCAAATATGGTCTTATACTTTATTACAAAGTTTATTATATTTTACAAACTTTATTACAAATGCAGGCATACCTATACATTATGTCACATACATACAAGATGACATTATAGGCTAATTAGTAACAACATTTATCAGAGTATGTAGTTTTTAATTTTCTCTCTTAAAATGTTTAAACGCCGTGGATAGAGTACCAGAAGTCTTAACTTTCTAATTGCGTGTTTATTGGTTAATAAAGTTTACGTGTAAAAACAAATATCGTTTTTATATAGAAAGTTTACTTAACTTTATATAAAATCTTTTGGTACTCTATACACGGCCATGCTAAATATGTTACATGAAATTTTTTAATAATCAAATATTATATTGTTATATATCATTGGAAAGTACTTTATAACAGTATTTTAAAAGTGAAAAAAATTTCAAAATTGAACAATTTGACAAAAAGTTATAGCGTTTTAAATACCGATTTTTTGATATATGTGTTTGTTGAAGAATCTGTGGTCAAAAAAATACTTTTTTTTAACTAAAACTAATATAAATTTGTCAATTCTTTTTTAAACACCTATAACTTGGTCTCAAAAGATAGGTATTGGAGTGGGCTACAAATTCACGTTGGCTTCTAGCCACCAGGGGTATCTGGGAGGCTAGAGAAGGTACCAAACCTACACCGCCAATAAATGCAAATTTTATTTACAAAAAATTTTTTTTTTCGGTAAAATAGTTGATTTTTATATTATTTTTTACCAAGTAGTTATTATTTGCTTCCAGACCACTGCCAATTATGCGACTTAGGGTGGGTGTAAGGGTGTTAACACACCCTAAAATGAAATAATCTTTTCTATAAAATTTTTTCTTTATTAAAAAAATAAATTTAGTATCAAATACAAAAACTTTATTTTACTACTACTAGCGATACACGCATTGATTCAATCCAATCTAAAAATAGAATCAAATTTTTATATACAATTTAGAAAAAGATTTAAATTGCTATTTTATAAAATAAAATAAAATAACATAAAACATTTATTACCCGATAACAAGATGCATCATAGTATCCATTCTTTCTGTAAAAAGAGCGTTTCAATCCCCCCTCCCAACCTAAAAATATTATTTTTTAATTAAATTATTTTGAACTAAACCAATTATTAATTTTTGTCTTAGTAAATTATAAAAATTTTAAACTCCATCAATGAAACAAAATAATTATCATTTTTAACGATAGTGTTTATCGTAAACGTAAGCCAGAGTTGTCTATAAAAGTTGTCTATAAAAGAGTTGTCTATAAAATACTGCAAGTCACACCACTTAATGTACCTTTTTTGCAAGTCAAACCACTTGCTGTATCTATTTTGCAAGTCACACCACTTGCTTTACTTTTATTGCAAATCACACCACTTGCTGTACTTTTATTGCAAGTCACACCACTGGCAGTAATTAGTTCATACATATATTGATAATAACTTTTATACATATATTTAACTTTTATACATATATTTGTAATACTTAAATCACATTAGTAGTATAATTACAAACTGTTACATACTCACTATGTAGTATTTTTAAAAAATTGTTACATAGTGAATATGTAACACAGTTGTGACACAGCTTACCCCAAACAACAAGTTTGGTTTCTACTATCACATAAATAACATTAAACCACATAATAAAACAGCCAAATTGTGAAAAAATCAACTCTCCTGCAATAACATCAGCAACAGTTGGATTTTTTTTATAAGATGGTCAACAGCTTCTAAATCATCCAGTAAGAGATGGTATAAATTCTGTTTTTTTCTCTCCTATTTACTTTTTCTACTCGCCCATCATACATGAAAGATTTGAAATGATCGGTAACAAACCATCCATGGCAGAGTTCTTTCCGAACAATTCTTTCATATAAGTCATCAAGTTGCTGAAAAGGTAAGTGCTGATATAAATTTTTTATATCATTAAAGATAGAACACGCAGCTCTCGTTCCAGCTTTCTTTTTTCTTTTTCATCCATTTTTTTTCTTTTGCATGTCTGCCTTTTTAAAATCTCTGCTCGCAATACAGTGTGTTTTAGTCGATTGTTTATTCTTTTTTTACGAGCTACTTGCATTTTTCCCAAGATATTTGGTCAAAACTATCTAGATAATCTATAGTTCTATTATTTTTTGTTCTTATTTTGCAAAATATATAACAAACTGTTGCATTTGGAGATCTTCCTTTAGCTTCACTAAACATACCCATTAACTCTTCACTATCTATGTTATGAAGCATTGCACAAGCTGTCTCCTCCTAAAGTGTCTCTGTAATAGAAAGTGAGAAATATCGCTCATATTGACGCTTCAAAACATATTCCACCGCAATAAGACAAGCCAAAATCATGTTGATAACCTGTTAATAAATGGAGCATAAAGTTTTGACAGGTTCTAAAACATTTGATTTAAGGAGATTTCCTAAACAATCCTTTTTACTGTATATTAGTGCACCTGGAATAAATTTTCAACTTTTAATTGTTTGCAAAGCATTTTTAACTACTTGGATACCTGCAATATGATCAAAGTTTGCTTTTTCAGCTTATACATAAAATATTTTCATCCAGGGTCCAGTGAGAAATTTTCCAAATATTGCTACCACACACAATTGTTTTATGACAGTTGTATTACAAAATGCTGATCGCAGAACTGTTTGTAAAGTGCCACACTTTACTGTTCCAATGGTCAGAAATTGCTTAAAAGCATTGCAGTTTTTAATAAAGATGAAACAAGTACGGAAAAGTATATGAAGACGATTACCACGATATCTTGGAATTATACCTCGTTTTATGTTTAATAAAATATATTTATAATGTATAACATGGAGAATTAAACTCATAAAAAATTTGTTACAATTATTGTCGATTATTGAATTTTATATTACCTTTTTAACTTGAATAAAATTCAATGTATACATATGTTATATATACACTTTAAATGAAAAATCTAAGCATTTAGACCATACTTTTATATTTTGATATTTTTTGCCACCTGAAATACGACTTCAAACAAACACTACTTCACATTTACAAGAATATATATATATATATATATATATATATATATATATATATATATATATATATATATATATATATATATATATATATATATATATATATATATTCTTGTAAATTGTAATGTAAATTGTAAATTGTAAATTGTTCGTGAAAAACTTTTGTAAACTTTTTTTTTGAATTTTTTTTTTTACAAAAAAAACGTTTTTATAGTTAAAATATTTTTTTATTTGATATTTAAAAGCATAAAATTCAGATATATTATTCCAAAATGTATAATTAATTTATTTTATTCAAAAGGTTTTTCCATCAAAAAATACTCGGCCGCCACTGGTTGCATACCACATTTTTAACTACAAATCTTGAAGATCATTTTAAAACCTTTCAAGTATTTTAGTATGACTTTTTTAAAATTTGACATGAATTTTTCAAGATTCATTTAAGCATTCGTTTAAGTTTTTTTTAGGGTTTGACTCAAAAAAAGTCAGACTTTAAGGTGATATCTCAAACTTGAGTAACTCAACGTTAATCAAGTTTGCATTTTGCATTTCACCAGTAGTTTTTCTTATTTAACCTATTAAAATCCAGCAATTCTTCTTAATCAATTAAAAATCTATTAATAACTAACTTACTGCCAAATGACAAAATTGGCGTCACTATTTTATCAATTTAATATAAATGAGATAATAGTAAAAAAGTTTGTCTAAATAAAATATATGTAATTGAAAATTTAACAAAAAAACTACATATGGTTCACAACACATTTATTAAATAAGAGGGTTTAGACTCTGATTAAAATTGGATAAGATTGTCAGCTGAGACCAAAAAGAAATGATTTAAAAGAAAAATAGAAAGCAAGAAAATTAGTAAGTTTTATTTCAATATTTTATTTTGTTATATGGTTAGTCTTCTTATAGTTGATATTTATAATATACCTTTTTTAAATAAAATGTGTTAAATTGATCTAAGCAGTTTTTTTATTGGTACTTTTTGACTTTTACTGTTTTTAGTATATTTATTTTAAATGTTTGAAAGCCATTAATATTAGACAAAAAAGCTCTTAATAATAACTAATAAATTGTTAAATAACCTTGTCAAAGTGAGACACTTTAAATTTGCACAACTGAAAATTTTACAAGCCACTAATCCGTTATGTCACTAGTGCATTACGTCATTAGTCTATTTTGTCACTAGTCCACTATGTAACTAGTCCATTACGTCACTAATACATTGTGTCACTAGTCCATTACGTCACTAGTTCATTGTGCCACTAATTTCTTTTGTCACTTGTTCATTATGTCACTAGTCCATTACGTCACTAGTCTATTAGTCACTAATGCAATCCACTTAAAAAATATTTGATGATAATTTGTTGCATTATTTCAAAATTCTTTTAAAAACTAGGTCAACAACCTTGACTTTAACCTGAATATCTTTTTGGTACACTAACATTTTCACAAGTTTCTCTCAAAAACATCTGCTTAAACTTTATTAATGCTACTGCATTTTTTATATTACCTTAGTTTCAAAAGTTCTAATTACTTTTTTAACCGTAGTTTCTCATTTTGAAATAATTGGTTAACAATTTGGAATCTTACTTTTATAAGTAATGTTATTTTATAGTTTGTTAAAATTTTATTTAAATATCTACACCAAATAGCAAATTATTTTAATTAAAATGAATCATCAAATAACACAAAAGCGGAATGGAATGTTATTATTTTTTAAAGTTTTTATTAAAGCAATCCTTTAGTCAAGTTAAAATTATTTGTTTTACAAAATGACGTAATTTAGAAAGTTAAGTTTTAAGATTACTTTGACAATCTTTTTGAAGATTTTTTAGGAAAAATCTATTATATATTAAAGAATATTACCATCTAAAAAACAACCAAATAAAGAATTAAAAATTTGATAAATCATTCTTATTTTTTAAAAAACAGCCGACATTAAACTGAGCACTGAAAGTCTTCAGAAAAATGTAAAATACTTATATGAAATAGCCATGAGGAATAAGAAACGTAAAAGAAAACAAAAAAAAAGAACAGATGCTCAAACATAATAAAGATTAGGACAAAATTGATAAACGCATTCACAAAATCATTGTCAACAATAATTTTATATTTTAAGTATAGCTAAATTCACGTAAATACTAAAATTTAAAAAATTTAACTTATAACATTGTTCAAATAGAAACACATATTTTTTCACTAAAAGCAATAACAAAATAAAGACGAGAAATACTCCCATCAAAAATGAGGAACGTAGAATAAAGTAAATGATGGAAATATAAAAAATATAAAAATGCAAATCATTTCTAAATTTCCAACTTAGCAGAAAGGTTCTTTATTTAGCGAAAGACTCCTAACTTAGCAAAAGATTCCTTTTCTAGGCGGCAAAAATGACCTTTTTCCTCAAGGGTATTATCAGATATACGAACAAATAAATTTTGGTTCAAATGAAATGATTCTATAAAAAAATGTAAATAATAACAGAAAATAATTTATTTTTTTTAAATTAAGATAAAAATGCTACAACATTTGAAAACCATTTTTATTCAAAATAAAAAATCAAACAATAAAAACAAATGTTAACTGGACTTTTTGATCTTATCTCAGAAGATTTTTTTCGAAGATAAAAAACGTTTAGATTTTTTAAGTAAAAAATTTAAAGCAACATCAGTTAAACCATTCTATTGAATACAAAATGGGTGATACATAAGTTATTTATTTATTTAACAAAATAAAAATTTTAACAACTTATTAATAAATAATTAAAAATTTTTTTAAAAAACAAAGTATTTCGTTTTGAATGATATTTTTTTTAATTATGTGAAAAAATTCCATTATCTGCAATAGATCTTAGTTATAAGCAAACTGTAAAAAAATTCAATTTAACTTTTTTGAATAGATACAATCAATGGAGACTTGATTATAATCAATTAAAAACCTTGCAAACCTTCCTAGTAAACATTTTGAGCCAAATTATATATAATTTAGCTCAAAATATATATATATATATATATATATATATATATATATATATATATATATATATATATATATATATATATATATATATATATATATATATATATATATATATATATATATATATATATATATATATATATATATATATATGTACATATATATTGATGATCTATACATGAGGCTCTAGATTCTGTTTACAAAGAAATTAGAGCCTCATGTATATTGATGAGGCTCTAATTTCTTTAGAAATTAGAGCCTTATCTATTGCAATTAATCAATCTTGATTGCAATCTAGTAGATAATAATGACAGCCTACACCCAAATTTCTGTGTACAAAAAATTGTTTTTGACATTAAAAAAGAAGTTATCTCAAAAAAAACTAAATAAAGATTCACAATTCAACTGATAAATATAATGAAGAAAATTACAAATTTACGGTTAGAAGAAGATTGCTTGTTGATATACTAAGAAAAGTTACAGCTTCAATAAAAATTAAGTGCAAAAGTTATTATTTTAAATACCAAAAATTATAAAACTCATGGGAAAAATGTTTTATCAAAAATTCAATATCTTACGATATCAACAAGTATTAGCAAAGTTTCAACGATAACAATGCTATACAAACACAGGTAAGCCATTTTAAATAAGACTATTTATTGACAAATTAAATAAAAGTTATTTAAAACTCTAGAACCTAAATGAGTATGTAGACATCAATGAGAGCATAGTTCTTTATTAAATTGTTATTTTTTTAAAAATAATAACACAAAATATTTACTAACTGGTTTGTTTACTGGTGTTAAGAGGAGACTAGGAACATCGTGCTTCTAACCTGTGTCCATTTAAGTTCAAGGTACCATGAAACTGAAGAAAAAAAAACTAAAAAAAAAACAGAACAATGGCTCCATGTAAAACTGTCCAAACTGATGTAAAAATGTCCAAGAGTTACAGAATAAGAGGTACTGACAAAGCCGATTTTTTATTGCATCATTTACGGTAGCGAATAAATGTTAGAAGGTCACAAAGGTTACTTTTTGGACTAGTAGATCAAACAATAACTAATGCATTTATTACATACTTAAAATGCATTTATTAAGTATTCTAACAAATTTTAAATTTATAAATTTGTTATTTAACCAAAATATTATATTAGGGCTATGAGTTCTTGGTTGCGCTACGATAGCTAATTCTAAAGAAAAATCTGCTCCAGACTGTAAACAACAAGCAAGTTGAGGTGTTCATCGGTCTTTATTCGGAAATAAAAAGGCAAGGTTCGAAGTTTGTTTAAAAAAAAAAAATGACGACCCTATAGCTACTATGAAACATGCAAAGTGTTTTTCTGTATTTAAAAATGAAAAAAAACTTCTTTTTTGAATACTACAATCATCGACATTGTTTTCTTCTTCTTTTTGATTGTTTCTTTATTTTTAACTCAATACTCCCAGATCTACATAACTAGACGGCTCCGTTGGTCACTTTTTGTGATCATTGTGTCGCATAAACAATTAAATAATTATTCTTAGTGGCTAGTGAGCCCGGATTTCTTCTAATATACACCACAACGACAAAACAGACATTAGGCTATCCCGATGAATGTGGTTATGGCGCTCAATGACCAAATGACTACGCTGACAATCACGCACACGTTTATTTGGAAATACACTCTCCACAATACACGTCGGATCAGCGCTTGCTGACTATCAGATCTAAAATCTCACTTTATAGCACATCATTCCACACTAGTACGGGTTCGTAGCTCTTTTGGCCAAGAGTGATGGCTTGTGGCCTACGGTGACTAATGTGTGCATTCGATCAATTGAAATCCATTCTGTTGGTCTTATGTCTGGCTTGGATGTGCTAGTCCATAAGCGCAAGAAGTGGGTGTGTTTAGCTTTCTGTTCACCTGATTTGAAAGTGAACGAACACATAACGAGACTATACTAGAAGATCAAACGGAACATACTAATGCACTATATTATCACACCTGTAGACGACAGCTGTGATCAACAGTCTCTACGATCAGTAAAATAAATATTTGTTCTATATTATATACTTTTGTTCAAATTCTTTTTTTGACCTTATCATTGTATATTAATTCAGATTTGTGTTATAATGTGTGAATGAGATCGTATATTGGTGAAAAAAATAATGACGCGAAAATTTTACTAAAAAATACTACATGACATACAAATGACTAACTTAAGAATACAGCCGATTATCTGAGGCTCAAAGAATGGTTATGCTTTTCTAAATATGTATATATGTTTCATACTTTTCTGGGGTCATATTTATTCCCTGATAATATGTTTAGTTCGGCAAGCGCTTATTTTATCCGCGATTTTATGGGGTATTATAAAATCAGTAGATCAAATATTTGTTCTTTGTATATATGTTCTACACACAGAGTGACTAGAGCGTTTGTTGTTTGTTCTCATGCCTCCTTTGTGTCCATTCTTCGTTCTTATACTTAACAAAGGTTTTGCCACACATTTTATATTTATAATTTTTATGATTATTTTTTTTATTTATTATTTATGATTTTTTTATTTAACTAAACCATCTACAACCTGTTTTTATTTTCACATCAGACTATACACAGAGTGACTATCCAGTTACGAATACCAGGTATTCGTAACTGGACGGTTCCGTTGGTGACTTTTTGCGATCTTTGTGTTGCATAAACAATTAAAAATTATTTTTGATTGTTTTGTTATGTTTAACTCAATGTCAGCTTAGTTGCTTGCTTGCAACTATTTAGTTTCTTTGTAATGAACAAAATCAGTGCATGTCTTTATAATTTTTTTTTGATTTTAAAACCAAAAAGGGAAGCAGGTGAATAAAAATAATTGCTTTAAACTTTAAAATTCCTTAAGCGATTTAAAAAAAAACTAAAAACATTTCTCATCAAAAAATTAAATACAAGATTTTTTTTTATTATAATTTTCTCTTAAACATCCAGCAATGAAATTACAGGTAAATTAATTTATATTAAAACAGTTACAATTTAAATTAAGGCCAGTCTTGGCTCTCCAAACATTTGTTTTTAATGCCAGTAACTAGACCGACTAGACGGTTAGGTCTATTTTAGGAATTTTCTCCTCCATTATTGTTTTAAATTTTTCTCTTTGTTCTTTTAAGTTCCATAATTAGAACGCTTCTTTTAATAATGATATAGTATCAGCTTGCAGTTCTTCTTGAAGTAGTGTGAATTTAATTTTTTTACCTTCTACAATCGAAAGATATTCAAGCCACGAGTTTTACATATAGTAATCACTTCGTTTATAAATGACTTTTTATTTTGTGTTGCCAGTAATTGACTAATTATCAAGTTTGATTTTTCATTAGCCTAATTAATAGGTTTACTTTATTTCGAAGAAGAGTAGTTGAAATATCTTCTATTTTAAAAAAAGAATGTTGGTAATTTTTGCTATACTTTGAAATACAAAAAAATGATTTTAAGTTTCTTAGAAAACTAAAGTCATAGTTGCATAGCTCAAGGTCATATATAAGCTTTGGCACTGTCAAGGTATTGTAAAAATGGGCTATTGTTGACGGCTGACTAAAACGAATTCCACTGTCAAATAGAGCTATTGCAACCGATTGAAACTGCGATATACGTTTATTTAGACTTGTTTTTTGAAGTGTTGCGATTTTGTTTTTGTTGGTATCGTTATCTCATTGGAAATCCAGATGTTTTAACTTATTTTGGAGATGTATATAAGTTCCGTTAATTTGAATAATGTTGTTGGCAATTGAACTTTTACCAGAGATTCTGTTTTCTCAGTGTTTAGCTTGATAAAGTTTAATATTCCATATGTTTGAAATCTGTCAATCAGTTCTTGCAGACCAGAGATTGTTGGACTTGGAGCAAAATTACATCATCTGCATATGCAATGACACCAGTATAGATGCCATTTATCGTCGACCCTACTTTACATTCTGAGACTATTTCATTTAAGATATTTTCAGTATAGATGTTATATAAATATGGCGATAAAATAGACCCTTCTCGCACCCCTTGTGACAAGCTGAATTGATCTGAGTTAACTCCCTGATAGGATATATTTGCAGTACCAGAACGATATAGCGATGTGATTACAACAGATAAAGTAAGTTTTTTTTGGAAATAAAGCTTCTCAAATAGCAAATTCCAGTTGCAATTATCAAATGCTTTATTTGCATCTAGACTACACATATATAAAGACGTGTTACTGTTATTATAGTGTTAAATGGTTTCGCTCAATAAAAATTCTGCATGGAGCGTAGCGCTATTTTTTTTAAAACCAAACTGATGGGAATGGCTATCTTTAATACTTGGACATAAAAGTAAAATTAGATATTCTAAAAGTTTGGCAAGGATAGGTAAAATACTAATTCCACGGTAATTATCTGGATTATTAAGAGATTTTTAATATGACTTAACAAGTGGAATAATTATTGAAGTTGATAAATCTTTTGGTACCTTTCCATTTGTTAGAATGCCGTTATAAAGTTTAGAGAGCCACAAAAAAAGATTGTTATTATGAGGTGTTCAGCAGTTACCCCAAAGCTATCTGGGGACTTATTATTATTTAGTTGTGATATGCAGTTTATAATATCAGCTGATGTAATAATCAGTGAATTAGGCTCATTACTTAGAGGCGGAATTTTAAGAGAATTGTGTTTGTTATTTGTAATGAGCAGCGTATTGAGTAGAGTTCGAAAATGTTGTTTTAACTCTTTAACGATATCTTTTATGTTTTGCGAATTATTAATCGTAAATAACCGAGTTTTTGCTGTGGTTTTGATTTTGCGAATATTGTCCCAAAACTTTTGAGGATTTTTAGTTTGTAGATTTTCAATATTTATTGTTTTTTCATGGCTTTTTTTGTTAAGGGATGCTTTAACCGCTTTTCGAAAGTTTTTACGTGCAAGGATGTATCTTTTGTATGTTATGCATTTATGTGATTTATTATAGTTAGATTTTTGCCATTGTTTAAAGTTAAATGAAAGATGTTCTTTGCATTTTTTAAGTTCTGTTGTCCACCACGGTTTTGAATATATACAGGTTTTTCGTTGTTCAAATAAGTTATATAACATTTAGAAAAAGTAGTTGAAAGGGTAAAAAGGGGGGGGCGGCAGTAGCAGATTCAGTAAAATCGTGGGGGCGGACTACAGTCCACGTTCCCAAGAAAAATAAACTAGCTCCCCTTAAAATTTATACTTGGCAAAAACAACTTTCAATTGTTGTTTATCTCAAAATAACTCATCTTCTGAAGTGAGCGGACATGTTTTTGTAGCGAGAAATTAACTTTTAAAATTTTTTTCTATTAACAAATTAATAATTAGAAAATTTTAATAAAATCTTGTTAATAATATGGATATTAAAAGTATTCAAAAATTTTTTGCTGGTATACTAATGAAACAAAGTGCAATCTTATAATACAATATCACGATGTAATTAATGCTTATGATTTATTTCTGAACCAATTTTGTAAAATGTATGATAAGGCATTACCTTTAAAAAAAAAAGTAATAAATATTGAGTCATTTCTATCTCCATAGATGATCAAAAGGCTACTAAAATCATCAAGGAAAAAACAAAAAATATTTAAATCCTCAAACTTATAAAAATTAAATTTATTACAAAAACTATAAAAGTTTATTTAAAAAATTTAAAAAACAATCATAAGTTAATTGTTTTGCTAAATTGTTTAAAAGTAGCAAAGGAAACATCGAAAAAAATGCCAACAATAACTTACCTCAAAAACTTTTTATTGATGGAAAACTCGTTTATCATAAAGAAGTTATTTTTGACAAGCTGAACAGTTTTTTCCTTGATGTTGGTCCAAGGTCCAATCATAAGCAGCAAAAATTATGTCTATTCAAAGTAGATTTATTTTACTTACAACAAATCATATAACTATGGACGAATCAATTTTGACAAAAAGTCAACAATACTTTTATTAGTCTGAAAAAAATAAAAGTGCAGGTCATCAATTTATCATAATTGAGGGTTTGATGTCAAATTAAATAATATAAAACCCTCAATGTTCCATATTTTCTCTCATCTCATCTCTCACATAGATCAGGTTATTTTCCAGATAAATTAAAAATTGCAAAAATAATACTAATTATAAAGCAGGGCAAGACTGAAATAGGTCTGTAGTTTTTCAAACTATAAACCTTTTTCAGTCTTTCCCTGCATTTCTAAACTAATTGAACGCATTATGTTATAAATATTTAAGTGAAAATAATATTTTATACTGTAATCAATATGGTTTAAAAAAAATATTCTACTGACCATGCAATAACTGAATTGGTTAAACATATATCAAATGGATTTAATAGTAATTGCTATACAAGTGGGGTTTTTATTGATTTATCCAAAGCTTTCGAATAACTAAATCATGAGATACTTTTAAAAAGACTAAAAAATTATGGTGTTAAAAACAAATTGAAGAAACTAAAAACAAATTAAACTATAGTTTAATTCTAACTAACAGAAAGCAATTTATATTTAAAGAATCAAAAGATTCAAAAAACAACCTACTAACTGGTGGGGTTCAGGTTTTCGGGGTTCAGGTTTCTATTTGAGGACCATTACTATTTTTACTCTATATAAATGACTTAAATTTGATATCAAAAATGTTAAACACTATCTTATTTGCAGATGATACTAATTTATTTTGTTCTCACAAAGATACTATTGTTCTTTTTAAAATTTTTTAACGCAAAATTAATTAAGATTAATGTGGTGCTTATGTAACCGAATTTAAACAAATGTAGATAAAACAAAGTTTATCCTTTTCCATAAACCTAGTAAAGCCGATAATATTCCTCTTTAGCATAATCTTTTAATCAATAAATAATAGTAAAAAGGGAATTGAAAATAAACTTTCTAGGAGTGCTTTTAGATAAAAAATTATCATGGAAATATCATATTAAATATATCGAAAGTAAGATCTTAAAAATTATTTACATGTTGTATCCAACAAAACCGTTTTAATAATGAAACTTTAAATAATATATATTTATTTAACTTACTTTAATAAAATCTCTCATAAATATCCTTCAAATTTTCAGTGAACAATTTCGCCATTCCCATAAACGATCTTAAATTAAGCTCCTAACAAATTCAATATCGGGGACATTATGTTTGGAAAAATTTTGTCATATTTTTAATGAACTTTATTTTAAACTGCAAGTTGGAAAGTTTTAAGGCTGACTCAAAACGGAATTAATAAACGTGGACTTCAATATACTAAATTTCAAATTTCTTTTTTACAATTAAACAATTTAAAAGGTTTTGAATTAAATAAGTTATTTAAAATTATTACACTATCTTTAGCTGTTTTTTTTAAGTGTTTTCCTCTTTTGTTTTATGTTATTATTATAATCTATTAATCAGCGCTAAATACCTATTTATATTGCATTTTTTTAAATAAAACTTAACGCAAAATTTTGTAACATATTTTACTATTATCTCACTTTTGTCTTGTTTTATTTTTTTAAAAAATTCGCTGGAATATTGTTAGTAAAAATTTATTTTATTGCTGAAGATTTTACTGTTTTATTTATAACTTATTAGTTATGTAAATTTTTAAAAAAGTTTGAAAATACCAATAAGTTCGGCTATAAGACAAATCTTTTTCTTGCTCCAACCTTTTATATTATTTTAATTTCTTTTTTGTAACTTTTAACAAACGGCATATATATATATATATATATATATATATATATATATATATATATATATATATATATATATATATATATATATATATATATATATATATATATATATATATATATATATATATATATATATATACATATATATATATATATATATATATATATATATATATATATATATATATATATATATATATATATATATATATATATATATATATATATATATATATATATATATATATAGGCTAATTTTTAGCCTATGTTTAGCCTACGTTTAGCAAAATTGAGCATTGAATGTTAAGTTAAAGTAAAAGTTTCAATTGTAATTTAATTTTTAAATTTTGGTATAAATATTGCATTTTACAAATATTTTTATTCGTTCTATATGATATTGAGGTTGATAAACAGGAATTCGAAGACCGCTTCTGTGTAACTAGTACACAGAAGCAGTCTTTGAAATGCAAGCAAAAAATGCGAGCAAAAGGTTAATAGTACACTGTACTATCAACCTTTTACTTGCAATTTAAAATAATGCATAAATTTTTAATTGTATTAAGTAGCTAAGGCATGTAACAAAAACACATCAGTGGCTGTTGTAACTATTTCCTATGTCACTGTGATCAATACTCTAAAAATAATTGCCCATTATAGCTTTATCTCGTGCATGAATTAATTCCCTTGGTGAAACCTCTTGCTATGCTCTTCAGATACTGCTCCTAAATTTGGTCTGAGGAAATCCAGATGAGAGAGTCAAAAGTGCAGCTTGATTTCTATTCGACATCCCAGAGTGTGACATTTGTCACCCAATTCTCCACTAGTTCTTCATGTTCTTTACTTCTGTTGTTTCCAAGGAATCTATTCTCTACATGTCTAGACGCCTATTATACATTTTTTTCCAAACTAGACATTATAGTTTCTAAGTCCGCTGACCTGTAACATGCAACGTATCTGATGTCTAATAAAAACGCCGGCTTTATGTTTTTCATGTGATAACTTAAGAAAATGAAATATATGTATCGGAAATCTGGTAAAGTGAGTTCAACGCTTTAAGAAATTGTCGGGCAAGTTCCAGTATAAAATTCAAGGATGGTAATAAAGTCCTTAGTGACATAATTAGGCTATCACAAAAAAATTTGTATTTACCAGCTGTTGGCGTGCGTGTTGCTTAGTCTCGAGTAAGGTAATGTTGATATAAAGCTCTGATATCCCAAAGATATAGGAAGCTAAAATATTTGATGGTCAAGAACCTTGTAGGTCAAGAAGGAAGCCAATTATCAAGTCACAACATACATTTTATTAATACTTGTTGTAGTCTTCTTGAGCTAAAATTTAACGTTGCTGTGATCGCCCTTCAAACGCATTTTTTTTTTGAGCAACAGGTATTTGAGATTAAAGTTTATGGCATTAAAATTATATTTTTAAATTACGTAAAAGAACACCTTTGAGACGAACAAAACTGTCTATAAACAATCATGCCCTACGTTCACGCAAGAATTCATTTTCTTTAAAAATTTATCAACATCCAAGCAGAAATACAAACATAAAGTAAATAATGTTGTTAAATCAAGGATATTTACAAATAGTAATAAGTACAAATATGAAATAAACGCCTGTCAAATTTAATAATAAAAGCATAGGGATAATAATATTAATTACAAGAAGAAATAATAGTACAAACTATTACAAACTAAAGTTCATACTAAAATGATAATAATATAAATAGCAATAATAATTATATTTGAAATAAAAAATTCAGTAATAATAACAATAATTATGATGAAAACAGTAACGAAAATATTATACTCTAAGGAAAAAAAAATACTAAATCTTAAAAAAGATGTTTAAATTAGCATTAAAACACACACACAAAAAAAAAAAAAAAAAAAAAAGAGAGAGAAAAATATTAAAAAATTAAAAGCTTAGTGTTAGGGTTATAAATAATAAGTTGTTGAAAAGTATAAGTTTTGAAAAACAATATGTTTCTGAAAAATAGTTAAAGTGAGCAGTTTTAAATTTTGATAGCGATTTAAAAGATTTAATTGGGAGGGAGATTTAATTGTTCCATGAATGCTTTTATGTTGTATGAGTTCATACCCGTAATGAACAGTTCGATATTTAGATACAGATAATCTAAAGTTGCAAGCAGAATATAATTTTAGTTTTCCCTATAATTAAAATAGATGATAAATATAAGAGGTAGATTATTGTGATTATGGTTTCAAACAAACTGGCAACTTGATAGTTGAATGAAGTTAAACAATTTGAGGACTTTGGATAAAAATAAAGTATGCTACAGTTCGAATTAGAACTTTAGAAATAAATTAATTTTGGATCTTTATTTTGGAGATAAGGTAGTCTTAAAAAGCAAACTCCTTAGACTGTCCCCAAACTTGACAACATATCTGAAAAGAGAATAAAAAATAGCATCAATATATTAGGCAAAATTCTATTATTAACATCATAAAACCTTGCTTATTATATGACGGATTTTAGCTTACATTATGTATAATCTGCTTACGTTTCAATGCTAAGCATTGAAAATGCAATGCAAAAGATATATTAGAGTCAATTTTGATTTCCGGATATTTGGTAAAGATAACTATTTATTTTGTGCCGACTTAATCAGAAATTTAAATGCTTATTTATATTTGTTTAAGCAAATTTAAATATAATAATTTCCATTTTTTTAGAGTTAGGGATAACTTATTGAAGCGATTGAACAATTGTGATTGGCTAGAGTGAGAATAGATAGAACACCTCTAAAAAATTTAGCTTGTTCTGAGTTAATACCATTAGTCGAAACAAATTGTGTTCTATTACAAAGATAGGAGGAAAACCAGTGGAATATCTCTAATACTACTGTTTGACTTAAAAGATTGCGTGCTTAACTGTATGTAACGCTTTTTTTTTATGTAACACTTTTTTCTATGTCTTTTTTGAATGAATTATTCATAGTAGCACTTAGAATTTTAGAGGTTATGCGAGTTTAGAATAAATGTTGTAAAATGTTGTAAAATGTTGTAAAATGTTGTAAAATGTTGTAAAATGTTGTAAAATGTTGTAAAATGTTGTAAAATGTTGTAAAATGTTGTAAAATGTTGTAAAATGTTGTAAAATGTTGTAAAATGTTGTAAAATGTTGTAAAATGTTGTAAAATGTTGTAAAATGTTGTAAAATGTTGTAAAATGTTGTAAAATGTTGTAAAATGTTGTAAAATGTTGTAAAATGTTGTAAAATGTTGTAAAATGTTGTAAAATGTTTCTTAAGACTTTTATTATTGTTAAGAGTATCAATCACACCTCATTTTTAATCACGTGATCAACGAAAAAAGAATAATACAATTATTTAGAATATCTTAACAAACTGCCAATTTTATTTATGTATAACTTAAATTTAGTAAATAATATATTTTTGATATTCACATTTTACGGTCTGGAAATTTTCAGAATTTAGAAGTAAATTTAAGAATACCAGAATTTATACAGGGATTAGATTTAAGTATGATTTTATTTTGTAGGGAGCATATCGGTTTAATACTTTTCAAATGTTTAAAGGGAAAAATTTATTGATCTATTTATGTGAGCATTTTCTTTTATGTAAAGTTTCTAGTTAACATTAGAAATTCCTTGTATAAAAGTATTGGAATCAAACATTTTAAAGCTTTTTTTTTTAATATTTTGACTCATTATTTTTAATTTGATGGAATTTTAGCAATACAGGTAAATTGCGCCTTGTGGTCAGAGTTTGATGTGGTAAGATTACCAGATACTATCAGAAGGGAATAACTTTATAATGTTATCAATAAGGGTTTTAGTTTTTTCAGTTACACGTATTAGAAGAATTATAGTTAGAAATAAAGAATGAGAGCGCAAAGATTAGAAACTTAGAAACGATTTGTAATTCTCTGATGAATTAATGTCTATGTTGAAATCGCTTATTAGTACAATAATTATTGTTTGATGACTTAATTTTTCAAGAAGAGAATTAAATGGGTAGATAAAAATTCAGTAATATTTAAACAAGGATGTTAATATTTACTTTCTAAAATAGTATTATTTTTAAGTGGATTTATACCTTCAACAAAAAAAAACTCTAGAAAATTGTAGACATAGATTAGGAAGTCACAACAAATTATGTAATTAAGATTTGAATTAAGGTAAAGAAGTGCACCGTCTTTTTTTTTACTCTGTTGGGAAATGTTCAACGTTATATTTTTGTATGGTAATTACAGTTATATTAGATTATTCTGCGTATAAATTAGACTCGGTAACTCCAATCACCATGGTAGGAGAATTAATGGTACTAACAAAACTGAAATGATCTCTGATTTGAAATGGGAGAGAAGAAATATTAAAATGAAGCTAAATTTCTTTCCCAGGATTAGTAGACTTATTTAATTCAATCATGTCAAGGTATTTGATTTTAGTTGTTGGATTAAATTTATTTTTCGAATTGTTAAATAAATTTTAGAGGTTAGGCAAGCACAACGTGTTTAAAAACTTTGGTTATAAACAAAGGGGTTTTGTGTGGAAAGCACCGGAACTTACTTGGAATTTATTTCACTGGGACGGGTTTTAAAGTAAAAAATACACAATCAACACAATCGTCGATTTCTAAAAAAAAGTACTCTATATATTAAAACTTTAAAAAAAAAGTTTTACGACCGGTTGTGTCGACCATGGTCTATCGAATGTGATTTTGTATTATTGATTCTATTACGAGTTAAGAATGCAAAAGCACATTATAAGCACGTTAACGATGATCTTCAAAATTTTGCCTTTTTTGAAATTTTATATAAGCGTTAAAAAACAAACTTGCTAAGAAACTTTTTTTATATTTTTCAAAGGATACCGTTGAGCGAGAGCTTCTTTTGTGTTCCTTAAAGTGTTTTGACGTATGAGATTAATAAAGAAATCTTATGATAAAATTAGTAGGTTAATGAAACAAACAAACAAAAAGGATACATCGCATAAAAGAATCTTTAATTAACGTTTTTCTTAACTAAAATTGTAAATGTTTAAATGCGGTTGAACAGATTTTTTCCTTTTATTGATTTAAACCATTAATGAAATAAAGTTTATATATCCTGAGTTGCTATTATCATAAAGTTTACAAATTTACAAATGATGAGTTACAGCAATTGTAAGTTACATAGAGAACCCGCCTTTCAAGATGCTCAATTCTCATTTCAATTTGCTATATCATTAATTAAATAGAGGAAATTGTTAAACAAAATCCTCCAAAAATCTCACAAGTATCAAACATTATTTTATATACGAATATTTATATGCACTTATTATCTGCAAAAATCCAACTCGTTAAAATATAATTTAACAACAATAAATTTTTTTCTTGTATGATTAAATTTTCAACAAAATCTTTTTATGTTTTAGGAAATAAACTGAACTGTCTTAAACAAATAATGATTGTTTTTATGATTGTTATCAACATGGCTTTTTGTTTTGGTGAGTACATTTTTTAACTTCAATTTAGAAATATTTATTAAATAGGCATTTTTCTAAGGTTTAAAAGTTGTTTACAAAGCAACCTTTTGTATAAAAGATTTCCTACTATCGTTGCAGTGGAAATTACCACTTAGTGAATCGATTTAACGTAACAAATTTAAAACGTTATTTACAAAACGAACTCACTTTTTTAGTAAATGTGAACTAAATTTGCGCAATATGCAGTCAAAACTGTGTTTTTTTGTTTTTAAAAAAATATCGGTGATGGAACCTTGCAAATAAAGTTTACTTGTAAAATTATTGACGTTTAGGGGTAGATATCGTTATTTAAAAATATACGCAAATGATTATAGATTTTTATTTTAAATATCAGTAATAACAAAGACCATTTTTATTTTAATTATCAGTAATAACAAAGACCATTTTTATTTTAAATATCAGTAATAACAAAGACCATTTTTATTTTAAATATCAGTAATAACAAAGACCATTTTTATTTTAAATATCAGTAATAACAAAGACCATTTTTATTTTAATTATCAGTTATAACAAAGACCATTTTTATTTTAAATATCAGTAATGACAAAGACCATTTTTATTTTAAATATCAGTAATAACAAAGACCATTTTTATTTTAAATATCAGTAATAACAAAGACCATTTTTATTTTAAATATCAGTAATAACAAAGACCATTTTTATTTTAATTATCAGTAATAACAAAGACCATTTTTATTTTAAATATCAGTAATGACAAAGACCATTTTTATTTTAAATATCAGTAATAACAAAGACCATTTTTATTTTAAATATCAGTAATAACAAAGACCATTTTTATTTTAAATATCAGTAATAACAAAGACCATTTTTATTTTAAATATCAGTAATAACAAAGACCATTTTTATTTTAAATATCAGTAATAACAGAGACCATTTTTATCAAGATTTTTATTCTTTTTTTTTATTTTAAAGTTTATTCTTGTAATTAGTTACTGTTTGTTTCATTTAAAATTTTACAAAGTTTTAAAATTTTAAAATTTTGATTCTACAAGAAAATGCTCAGACTCAGATCATAGACAAAAATTTCGAAAATTGATTATCATGAATGTTTTTATTAGGTAGTGCAAGTATTAGTTTACCAATGAATACGTTATTGTCACCTATTTTAGTAAGGTCATCATCATAAGCTAAGTTTAGTCATACCTTTGACATGTTCATTTTGAAGTAAGATATAAAATTTTAATAGCTGATTATTTGTTTAGTAATCAAGTAATAATGGTTTCAACAGGTAAATGTAAATGGTAAATTTCAAAGTAAATGACACTATTTAATGGTACTAAATTTATTTGAACTTTCTTTGGTGTGTTTGAAACATGTGTCATTATCATTCTAATTAAAATCAATATTGTTATTATTATTATAGATACATACATATACATATACATACATACATACATACATACATACATACATACATACATACATACATACATACATACATACATACATACATACATACATACATACATACATACATACATACTTACATAAATACATACATACATACATACATACATACATACATACATACATACATACATACATACATACATACATACATACATACATACATACATACATACATACATACATACATACATAAATACATACGTATATACATACATACATTTATTGTACTATACTTTTTATATTCTTATTAGGAATGTTATTTATATCTTTATATTTTACTAGGTAATTTATATTTTTAGGTAAAATTATAATACGCAATGTGATAAAAGATGGTTACTATAAATTAAATCCACTAGATGTAACGACAAAATCTGATTTTACTGTTGGTTTTATTGAAGCAAATGGAAGTGTAAATGACCCAATAAGTTATTTTATTACAAATGTTTATTACTTACCACCTAGTTCCCAAATATACGAACCGGTATCCCAAGGTAAGTTTGAAAACATTTACTGTAACAAACTATTAAGTTTTTAGTTTGAAATCAAAAATAGGTTTAAAAAAGAAGTCAAATATGTAGTATAAGTTTTATTTTTTAATACTATTTTTTCATTAAAGCCATTATTTCATTATTTCAGTCCCAAAAGCAAATAATTAGTATATTTCTAACTATTATGTACTAATTTTTTGTTCATTAAACTTTTTTTCGTACTATTACTGCTTGTATTTATTTTGTGCTAAATTTTTGTCATCAAGGATTATATTAAAAAAAGTAACTTTGACAATATGTTTTACAAGTGCGATGAAATTTTAAAACATACGCTAAACTTTTGTTAGAAAAAGCCTAATTTGCTACTCAGGGGTACGCGTAGCATGTAGTGGCTAAGGATGATCAAAGATCCATAGAAACTCAGAAAAATTCAACAAATACCGTAAATAAACATGTTATACAATAAAAAAAATTTCTATTCAATTCTTTGGCGCTTTAACCGGTGCATACGCGTTTATGAGAGCGTTTAAAAGAGCATGTTTTAAGAATAACTGATAATGCAGACCGCTTCTCATACACTAAATTGCTATTAATTAAATTTCTTACGTATTTAAACTTAGTCTCCATCATATTTTTATTATCATGTTCAAATCAATAAAAAATGGCACCGTCATATTTAACTCAAATTTTAAAAAAAATAAAATCATCCATTCTCAACACGTTTTTCTGTAAACAATTACATTCAACATAAAATTTACCATTCTGCTATTAAGTTTTCAATAGCAAATAGAGATCCTAAACCATGGAACACGTTTTTAAATAATGAGCTAAATTTTTTTCTTTATTTAAACAATTAAAAAACAGACTTGAGCTAAAACTTTTGATGAATGACAATGAGTTATATTTTTTCTAAAACTTTTGATTAGGAGTATTCACGTTTTAAAGAGGGTCACTGTGTACTTCGTATGCATAGGCGTGTTAAAGCAATTTTTTGATTTCAACTTGTTTTTTAGGTTAAAACTAAGAAGAAATAAATGGGCGCCAAAAATTTTTTATATTTGGGGCCGGAACCCATGACGTCAAATTAATTACTGTCAGCAAAAATAATTTATCGTAAATTTAAAAAATATATATGCTATACGAAAAAACTTGTCAAGTGGAGCAAAAAATGTGTAAAAAACATATGCTGAAAATGTCTTCTTCCCAAGATATAACACCTTACCCCAGTGGGCATTTCGACGTCGAACGAACGTCGAGCGACGTCGGATCTCGACGTCGGATCGACGTTGGGTTTACGTTGGAAATGGAAATGTTATTTGACGTCGGATAAACTGACATCGCGCGACGTCGGCATTCCGATGTAAATCCAACGTGTTTTTTGAAAACTAAAAAACGTTGCCTCAGGCAGGAATCGAACCTCGGTCTATTAGAAACCATATGCTACGCGCTTACCACTACACCACAGGTACATATTATATAAAATGTCTATTTAGTAATTTATACTTGTAGCTATTTGGGAATTATTTCTTTGATAAGAAATAATTTTGTTTAAATATTATATAAATATTAAAACGAATAGTTATATATTATAAAAAATGTATACTCGAAAATGTTAATAGTTAAAAAACTATGCTAGTGCATCATACAAAACCTCATGATGTTTTATCAACCATTATTCAATCTTCTTTCCATTAATAAAAAACACGCTTAGTTCACATATTTATTGAAGAGCGCAATTGCGCACATATTGTTGGGTTTGGATTAAATTTTCATCAGCGATGTCTTACGACGTTGTTCCGACGTCGTTTTAAGGACGTTGGATTGACGTCGGAAGACGTCAAAAGACATCGGAGTACGTTAATATTATGACGTTGCCCGACGTCTTTTTATCGACGTTGGATCGATGTCAGTATTGCGACGTTTTTTGGACGTCTTTTACAAGATGTTGGAACAACGTCAAAATACATCGAAACGACGTCAGGGGATGTTGAGATAAAGACATCGCCCGACGTCATTTTACTGACATCGGAACAACGTCGGAATAGGTCTTTTGACATCGCTGATGAAAATCGTACGTAAATCCGACGTCGGATTGACGTCGGGTGCCCACTGGGACAGAGTATCTAAATTACAGATATAGTATTCATAGACCGGCACATAAAGAAAAAAAAAAATGTTTTTTTCAATTTTAATATACATCCAGATGAGTTTTACTTGGAGAATTTTTATTAATGAGAATTTATATTCAAAGCAATTATTTATTGAATATATGCATGCATGATCGTTTTAATGGAATTTGAAGTTGTACATCGAATTTTCATATTGACAAATGTCATTTTAAATGCTTTTTATTAAAAAGATAAAATTTTATTTCTTATTATTAAAAAAGACATGGATGCTATTGACATGGATGGAAAATTGGAAGCTATTGACATGGATGGCATCATTTTTATTTGTAAAAATATTTGCAATAAGTGGTTTGGAAGAATTCGTTCAATAAAACAAAGTACATTTTAACATTTTTAAGGCTTTTTAGGTATAGATAAAACAATATTTTTATAAAAAGATAATTTAAATAACATAACGGATTATTAGCGGTAAGTAAAACTAATAATAAAATTTAAATAAATATAAGCATTTAAATATAAGTATAAGTCTTCTATATCGGTTGTATTGATATCGGTTGTATCGATATCTATATCGATTTTTATATTGATATCGGATATCAATTCTCTAAATCCTCGTTACTGCAACGGTGAATATCGGTGTTTACACACCCTGTACATTTACACATATCTGTACAGACAAAGTTATTTTTATAACACTTGCATCTCTTGGAACTGCAATCACCACTACTTCCACAAACACTTGAATCAATTAAACCCAATGGACAGGAAGACAATCTGTTAATATTGGATCAAGAGATTTACCATTGATTACACACTTCTTAAGTGGTAACCAAATTGATTCAGATCCAATTAAACGCTCTTTAATGAAACACTGATAGAGATCATTGCCAATAGTTGCATGTTGTAACAACCTTTTTAAAATCTCTTTAGATAATACTGTTTTAGAATTAGTGTTCATCACTGATTCATTTCCTTGAAATATGACATCAAACGTTTGAAATGCATCCAGTAGTTTTTGAACATTTGTAGGAAATCTGTTACAAGTTAATTCGGTTAGTTGATAATGGCAAGATCGATTTTGAAAACTAATATTGTTCTTTTTACAAAAATCTTTAGACAAAGCATTTAGTATTGGTGCAGTAAAATAAAAGCGTTGCAAAATAGAAGGATTTTGAATCAAACCTTTTTTCACCGCCAGTTACTTTCATCATTTTGTTTTCTTGCTTTAACGTGCGATCAGAGCCTATACTTGTGAACAGCATTTTACTTTTACTCATTGCAAAGATTTCTTTTAGATTATTCAAAAATTGTAAATGATTGGACTCAAGTTTAATCATTATTGCCAAATACAATGGAGTAAGTCATGCGTAATTTATCTGGTCTAATGCAAAGAAATATTTTACCATATTTTCAAGTAAAGCAAGATTTAATGACCAATTTTTTCATTTTGTTACGCAGGAATAGTGGTTTTTGTGATTGACATTTATTGAATTCATCAAAAATAGTAAAGACCCCGTAATCTTTGATACCTAAAACACAATTTTCAGTAATTACTTTCAAATATCACTCGGTATCATTTAATTGATTAAAATATTTTTTCGATCCGAATCTTATTTATGAATTGTGAATGTTGTTGTAATGAGATTTCTAAATAAAACTTGTTAAAAGAAAAATAAATATTCACATGCGCTTCCATGCATTGCTTCATGTGCTTTCCGTCAAAAACTGACGTAACGTTGTATATTCGTATATAACTGGTGCTTTAAAGAGTGCGTCAGGCCCACTACCTTTTATATATTTGCTTATTACTTTTAAAAAGGAAAATACAACATAGAGTCTACCAAGTCTGAAGATGTAATTACAATTAATTAATTGCAAATCTAACTAATATTGTGCCATTAATCTTAGTAACAACTCTCAATATAAAATTAAATAAAAATGTCTAAATTTAAAAAATAAAAAAGTTACAACAAGACTGTACTGACCATTTTCTTTTTTTTTTTTTTTTTTTTTAAGCAAAGAGTTTTGTCATGTATTAAAATTTACAATGAAATAAATCGTGTTAATAAGAGAACTGGAGCAAGCAGAAGACATAAATTGTCTTATCATCAAGCCCCATCATAAAATTTACATTAAAAAATCGTCAGAAAGACTTAAAAAAATTGTCGTACCATTTTTTTAAGTCTTTCTATGCAAGTCTGTAGATTCTGGGTCTGTGTTTTGTACATTCTTAAATTGGTATATCTTGGAAAGGAAACGTTTTTAGCATATGAGTTTTACATATGTTTTGTTCGGCTTGACATGCTATTTTAGTTCAAAATATATATTTTTTAAACTTAATAATAAATTTTTTTGTTTGTGTCTGTAAAAAATTTTCTTTTTATTTAGGTGCCCCAAGAAGTCCTTACGGTCTTTTCACAGAGCACTGTGAATGAACATTTAATAGAAAGTTCACGCCTCCTTTTTAATCGATCTTGCAAAACTAGCCCAGAGGTGGGTTTTGAACCACGGATCCTTTGTTCCTGAGGCAAGTGTGCTACTAATGCGCTAGGGCTGCTTGTTTGCTTGACCTTATGGGTCACGGCCCCAAAAGTAAAAATTTTAGGCACCCATTATTTTCTTCTTAGTTTTAACCTTATGAACGAGTCAAAAACAAAAAGTTGCTTCCAACACGTCTGTGCACACGAAATTTGTAATCTTAACATAGCAGCCCTCGCTATTTGTTTTATCTAATTTAATTGTTTTTTTTTTATTATCTTTTATTCAATTTCTTAAAAGTTAAAGCAAGTTAAGAAAAATAATGTTAAGAGTCTATTATACTTGTTATTTATTGATATACTTTTGGATGTATTACACTGTAATATAGCGTTATATATGTCTTGTAATTTAACAAAGTTACGTTGTTTTTTTTTTTTTATTATTGAAATTTTTATTTTAAGGAGCTTGACAATAAGACTAAATATGTCTTCTTCCTGGTCCAACCATGTATTTATACATTTGTATTGTTTAATTTTTGTAACTTTTTTTTCATCAGCGTACTTTGTAAAGTAAATATTGGTTAGCTTTACTACGCTAATTAAAAATAAATTAAATTAAAATTTCAGATTTTTCATGCAATTAGCACATTATCATGATGCAATACTCTACCTTATAATTGAACATCAATGCTTTTTTAAGAGTTTTATATTTACTTCATTATTAACATTACAATCATTTTAATAACTTCATCTGATAATGGTTTTCTGCACAATTCTTATGTTTTCTAAAAGATATGCTTGATACTTTTGGATCTGACCGTATTAAAACATAGTGCATCTGTTTAATCATTGTGTTTAACTATGATACTTACATGTATTTAAGTCTAGATTTTCTTATCTGTTTATTCACACTCTTTAGCACATCTTTCGAATATCCAAGTATACCCCAATTGGAAAAGGTAGTTTATGTAATATAAAAAGAAGTGCACACTCTACCACAATGAAATGAAAGTTTGTTTACAGTAGGATCCACAAAATGTAATCGTACAAACTCATTATATGTTTATATGTTTTAATGTTTTAGGGCAGCATATCTCTAATGCATTATGGGATGTTTACAGCATATGGTTTAGAAAGCATTATGCAATTTTTAAAATATAGCACAATTAACTTTAGTTGTTTGAGAAAAAAATTCATGATTTTAAATGTTCTAGCAGTATGGCTATTATTGCAATTGTCAAACCCAGCTTTAGTCATGTAAAAAATTATGGTAATATATGCACCGTTTTTATTTGCAGTATTTTTAAGAAACCAAACTATTTGATGATCAAACAACCAACAGGCTTTTGATGATTAAATAACCAACAGGCTAACCGATGATCAAATAACCAACAGGCTTTTTGGTGATTAAATAACCAACAGGCTGTTTGATGATCATATAACCAACAGGCTATTTAATGATCAAATAACCAACAGGCTATTTGATGATCAACTAACGAGCTGTCTATTTGTTGATCAAAAATGTTGTCATACTAGGGGCAGGAATATGGCAATGAAGTGGGGCCATATTCGATTGTGAGCTTCATGTCAACAGTTAGCGTAATAAAAAAATAGTCTCTTTATTTTTTTTAATTTCGAAAAAATTAAAGAGTCAGGTAGATCATTGTTTGCCTTTTAAAATCACACGAGCAACTTTTCTATGTAAAATAAATATAGAAAATTAAAAATTTCTCTATTATGTTTATAGATCTTCAAATTTTCCAAACTCAAACAATTATTAAGTCCGGCTAACATTATATTGAAATCTTTTAAGCACCAAAAAAAAAAAAAAAATTAGCATTTAATGCGTTACCTTTGTAAGTCATTGTTAGTAACCAACTTTTATCCCGGAATTTTTTTGCCACCTCTCTGACCAGTAATGTAAAAAAAATACATCATTACATTGAGAAAAAGACATGCAAGTTTCAGTACTCTATTTTTTGCTTTTAGGTTGATAGTACTTTACCTAAAATTGCACCTAATAATTTATTTTTTCAACTCAAAATAATTACTTTTAAGCAAAACAAATGCGTATTTCTGTTTCAAAAAAATAATTATTATATAAAAAAATAGTAGTAGCATGTAACATTTAAATTTCTAAATTTCTTAGATAAGTTTTTATAAAAAATAAGATGATTATAATTAGATAGATTATTATTAAATATTTTTAGTTGCTTATATTTTTAAGTAAAATAAAATTTCGTTTTTAGAATTAACCAATTGGCAAATATATGCAACGTCGTCATCAATTAATGACTGCGACAATACAACTTTGAAATTGTATTCGAAAAGAAGAAGATGCTTTTGCATTGATCATTTCAGTGGAGAAATTAAAACAACTTTATATTTTAGTAAAATGGAACAGCAAGTTGGTGGTCAATATCACATAGAGTTTGAAGTTAAGAATAGTATTATAACATTAAAAAATAATTTACCTATATCACTAATGCTTTTTTCTATATGCAATAACATAACAAGTTTATACAAGTCAATTATTCCATTTTGTGATCTTTCAGTGTACAAGTCTGATTTAATGAAATCTAATATGCTTTTTACTCATGATTTACCTAACACTATATTTATCTCAGCTATTCAATACAGTATTAAAAAAGAAGAACAAATTTCTATTGGTTCAAATGTCAGTGTTTTTATTCATAATAAGGGCGCAGTTATACAAAATTTTGACTTCATCCACTTAAATGCAACACAAGTTGTTTTAATCACACCACCTATTAAATGGAAACCTAGTGACACCTTATTTTTAGGGCTTATTGTGAATTCACATTTAAACTATGTTTTTGATATTCAGTATATTGGTATTGAAGAAAAAGACTTTTGCTCGCTCAACCCTGTATGTGTAAACTCTATCAAGCAACTTGTCAGATTTCAAAATATATATTCTCATCAATGCCCAAGTAATGATCAATATGGTTTAACTGCTAAATATGGATATTGTAATGGTAGTTAACTTTTGTTTTTTAAGCAAACATTTAAATACATATATAGATACATACATACACACATACATACATACATACATACATACATACATACATACATACATACATACATACATACATACATACATACATACATACATACATACATACATACATACATACATACATACATACATACATACATACATACATACATACATACATACATACATACATACCTACATACATACATACATACATACATACATACATACATACATACATACATACATACATACATACATACATACATACATACATACATACATACATACATACATACATACATACATACATACATTCATACATACACACATACATACATTCATACATACATGCAATCAATCAATTCTAAAACAGTAAAACAGCTGTTTAAAAATTACCAATATTTAAAAACCTTACTGCCAACTTTGGGTTTGGAAAAAAAGTGTTGAAGATACCAAATCCGAACTGTGTATGTTTACAAGTAAAACTAGTTTGTTTCTAAAATTCGATTTTTTAAATATTTTATTATAAATATGTTTTGCTTACGTTTGATGTACTGCATATATACTTTATAATTTGAAAATACAAACAAAACTTCTAAAAGAGGATCACGATGATCTTATCGTCAAAAGCCTTTTACAAGAGAGAGTACGTGAAATAATATAAAAAAGCCTATTTACAAAAGAGTACGTAAAATACCATAAAAACAAAAAGTCGTGCTTAATTTAAAGTGGCTTATTTCTGGCCACGTTGCATTTATTATTTTAGAAGATAAATTCATATTACGTAATATAAACAAATAAGTTTTAACCTAAATAGATAACTTAACAATGAATATAATTTTATAAAGTTTTTAATAAAATTAAATTTAACATTTGCTCAGGCGTCAACTTTTTAGATGCTACCTAAAAGACCTATTTCTGGCCATTTAAACTTACTTTTGATTGTATAAAGAAATTCACAAACTTTAAGAATTATTGATAAATATACAAAATACACATAAATGCATATACAGATTTATTAATACTATTTTTCTATAATACTTTCAGGACTTGAATGTAATCATAAAAACTTTGAAAGTAACAAACATAGAGTTTACGAAAACAAAATATTTATCAAATATTTCAAGTATGCTTTCGAAGCATTGGGAAGTCTTTTTATATTTCAAACTAAACATTTTAACTACTAAGCTACTACTAAGCTAAAATATTCTTTATTTATTTTAAAACAGAGCAATCCCACTCTTCATTAGAGATTTTAGGGCTTTTGAAAATTGGCCAGAACCAGGACGTGGCCAGAAATAGGTTAGTTCACTCTATATATATGAATATAAATTGTACTCAAGTATAAAATAAAAACTGAACATACTTAACTCAAAACAATAAATTATTATTGGTTGATGATCAAATAATTTTACAAAAAACGTAAAACCTGGATTTGCTAACTGAAAAAAAGTATCGACCAACATTTTTTAGTCAAAATAAAACGGCTCTTAAAGTTTTAAGTATTAGATATTAACAAATAGACGATATATTTTCCTCAGTTGGTTCAGTGTTTTAAAAAGTATCAATCAAAGTTTTAAAAAATCTTTGTTGCTTTTTTAAGTTACATAACTAGAAAGGCTTTTATATTATTGATAAGTATTTGATAGGTTGTGCAAATTTAGTTTTTTTTACCTTCTAACACGCACTAAAAAAAGTTCAAACCAAGAGTGTTAAATGTAGCAATCAGTTCATTTGTAAAAGATTTGTTATTTTCTGCTGCGAGTAATTCATATTATATCAATGAATAACAAGTTTAATTTTTCATTACCTTAATCCTTGAATCCTTTTGTTTTGTTTTGAAGAAGAATATTTAAAATGTCTTCTATTGTAAAAAACAAATGCAGGTAATTTTAACTATATTTAGAGATACAAAAAAAAAAAAAAAAAACTGAGAAAGTTTTTAAGATCATCATTTCTTTCTAACCGCTTTATTAAAATCATCTCAAAGGCCAACACTCTTTCCAGTAACTTCTGAAGTACCTCATGGTTCTATCCTTAATCCTATTTTGTTTTTTATTTGTATTAATCATCTTTCTGACAATCTGATATCTAAAGTGGCTAAAAGTCATTTGCTAATGACTCATTTTTATACTCCCGAAAAAAAGTCTTCTCTTATCGATATCTTAGAAGAACCAGCCAATCTTGAATCTGATCTCACTTCTGTTACAGATTGAGGCTTGCTGTTGCTTGTAATTTATTAACTCCAGCAAAACTCAGTTATTTACTGCAAACAATTTACGCAATACTGTCGACATTCCTTTACTGATGAATGGGAAACCTCTCATTGACTCCTCTTCTTTACGTTTACTTGGATTATCTTTCACTTATGCCCTCTCATGGAAACCATATATAAAATCGATTGCTAAATTAGCATCTGCTAAGGTTGCTTCTTTTTATTACGCTTGCCATTATCTTACTCCTGATTCCGTTACCTACCTCTACAAATCTTTTATTTATGTATGAAACACTGTTGCCATATTTGGGTTTGTTCTTTTAATGATGCTCTTTTTCTTCTAAAAAAGGTCCAATCACGCATTGTAAACGTAGTTGGACCCGCTCATCTCCGAAGCTTAAGCATATCTCTTATTGTTGTAGAGTTGTATCTCTTTCCTTTTCTACAAATACTTTCATTATTGCCGCTCAAAGAAACTACCATCTTTAGTTCTATCAACCAAAGTTCATTCTCGCTTGAATCGACTAATTATTAAATGCATCTATACCTGCATGCTTTAAAAGATATTAATTGTCTAGTTGTTTCATCCGCACTTCAACCCTTTGGGACTCTCTCCCATTTTCGTGTTTCTCTGATTCATACAACCTGCAACTTTTCAAATTTTCTTTCAACCGTTTCCCTGCTTTTTATCTTTATTCTTTGTTTTCTAGTAGCTCCCAACTTTATAGTGGTTGCATGCAGCATTGTTGGGAGTGAATCAAAATAAAAAAAGGAAGCAAAATAGAATGGGGTTTACCCAATTTACTCGATGTATGCAACGCGTTTGAAACACCATAATTTCAACCTGAGCTTTTGTCATCATAGACACTAAAATCTATGCCTGTTAACAATAAAATCTCAGCCATTAGCAACAGTAGCTCTTTTTTAATTTCCAATCAATTTGCGTATTTTATTTTCTCCACATGTGACGATAAAACAAAATTTTTTTTTTTCCCTGTAAATAAATTTTCTTAAAAAAATTAAAAAATATTTATTTATTTAAGTACACCTCAAAATTCCCTACAATTTAAAAAAATTTAAACAGTTAATTATTCGTTAACCGAATAAAGAGTTACAAATATATTTGTTTAACTAATATTAGTAATACAACTAACGAATATTAGTAATATAACTAACAAATATTAGTAAAACATCTTTTTGGTGAACAAGTATAATTCGTTCAATAATCTTCAAATAACTAAAATGAAAACAAACTAATGTTCGTAATTGTTTAACAAGTATTCGTAAAAATATTCGTCGAATAATAATCTCAGTTCTAATGTATTGAAATAATAAAAGTAAATTTTAAGAAACTAAAAAAAAAAAGGGTGAGAGTTTGAGGGTGGAGTTAAGTCGGTGGTTTAAACGTAAAAATTTAGCAAAAACTTTTTTCTTATTTAACCGATATATATATATATATATATATATATATATATATATATATATATATATATATATATATATATATATATATATATATATATATATATATTTATATATATATATATATATATATATATATATATATATATATATATATATATATATATATATATATATATATATATATATATATATATATATATGTATATTTAGAGAATAATGATCCAATAATCAATGCCACGTCTGCATATCTTAATTGGGATGTTATGGTAAAAACTGGACGCCCTTTACCAATAATTTCAAATTTTATTAAAGATCCAGAGGGTAAACCGCTGCAGTTAAAAGTTGCAGCTGTAAGGTCTAAATATGGCAATTATTCGGGTAAAGTTAGAAATATGCAAAATCATCCATACTGTGATCATTTGAATACAAGTGTTTTATTTTGTTTTAACAGTTCAACGGGAACGCTATATAGTACTTATAATTTATTAGGTACAGTACCTGATGAAGTATTTAATATTACCATAGCTGTGTTTGATTTAGAGCTCTATCCACCTCGAAAAAAAATATTTTACTTAAATATAATATTTCAATCAATATGTGCCAAACCTACAAACTCTTTTCGCGAAATTATAAAAAGTTGCGATACAGATTATTACGAGGGAGTTGTCAATAACCACCGAATTTCAATAACAACTCCACACCAAGTTAATGAATCATACTATATTAGTGGTATACGCATTTTAGCTAAACACAAATGTGATTTTATGGAATTGATAATAACAAAATTTCAGCTCAACTATACTACGACAGTTAAATTTTTTTGTGTTGGAAATTATGCATTGGTTGATAAACCAATTATTTTCGAAGATGGGCTTCATTACAATATCTGCGCTAAAATTTTCAAGGATAACATAACAACAAATGTTATCGAAAACTTTAGCAACCTAAAATTTGTTATGATTAAAAAGCATAATTACTGTTCAAATACTGACTGCATTAATAAGTTTGATATGTACAACAAATCATTATGGGAAGACTCAAACATTAAGTCAACATGTGCTGAAGTTGATATTTTTGGAATGACAGCTAAATACGGAAATTGTATTGGTAAGTGTTGTTTAATTTGTCTTAAGTTTCATTTCGGTGTAAAGTTAAGCAAAGTTGTTAAGTAGATTTAAAATATGGAATATAATACCAATTTTTACTATTGCTTATACTATAATATTGCATATTGTTGTATTGTAAAATATTTTATTACATCGATTTCAGTTATTAATTAAATTCAATGGACCTACTACTTTTCATAATCATATAACCAGTATAAGTATGTGTGTATATGCGTATTTATTTTTGTCCTATAATATTTAAAATTTTTATTTCTTTAGTTCTTTTTAACAAGTCCCGGCTTTGAATTAGTTTTATATTATTTGCGTTGTTTACTAAAATGGTATTATCATGTGAATGTTTGTAAGAATTAATATGTCTAATCATTTTAAAATTAAATTTCTAGTAATTAAATAAAATTTGTATGTATTGAATTTGTAAAAAACTATAAAAACTATAAAAAGACAAAACAATAAAATAATGATGTCAGCCGAAATTAACCGCTAATAAGGCAATAATGTTATTTTTATTGTTTATTTTCAAGATTTTTTTTAAAGCACCGAAGCTTTTTGGTATTTAGTGTAAACTTCTTATATTGCTTTCTCAATAATTAGGAATGAAAAAATTAAGAAAATTTAGAAAACTTGAACGATCTAAGGTGGCTCGCCAATAAATAAATCCTAATTTTTATCAAAACTTAATTTTTTGGATTGCTTTTATTTTTTTATTAAGTCAACACTGCTGTAATTGTTTTTCAAATCTATTTTGACATAGCTTTAGTTCATTGTGAGTTATTCCAGTTTATTTAGGCTTAATCAAGACATTTTACCTTGATAACGGTTTCTAGCAACTTTAACTTAGGTTAGGGTTGCTAGAGTTTATACAAAGAACTTTTTATACAAAGAAACGTTCTTCTCGAGTTTTTCGTTCGTCATTTCAATCCCCGGAAAGCTAAAAATAACTTTTCAGTTAATTTTCAAACTATTTTCCTGATGCTCCTGATGCTAAAGTTTTTTTTACAGCATCTAGTTAAGTAACTCATGAGTTATTAACATTTTTCTGTTTCATTTCATTAGCTGATCTTCCAATTTTTTATATATTTCTAAAAAAAAATCAAAAATTACAATTTTTATAACGAGTTTTGGAAATAATTTTGCTTCAGGCTCTTCATTTAGTTCATATAAAATGTTTTACTAAATATTAGGCTCTTGTTTCTAGTGGTTTTTAAGTTATATTTTTTCAAAATTAGGTTCAAAATAACTAATTTTACAACCTTTTTTACATATTTTTGCAATTTTTGGAAGAAATTGATGCAAACTAAAACTTTTTTCCCCCCCTATATATACTCTTAATATACTATAATACCTTGTTTAATTAAAAATAATGAAATTATTTTTTTTTTTTTAGTGGTGAGTTGAAAAAACCTTAAAAACTTTTTATTAGATTATTATTTAAATAATTCATTTAAATTGTTTTAATTTTTTTAAGTGATAATTTTTTTGTATGGTTATTAAAATGAACAAAAATAAATGAAACGTTAAGTATTTATTAAATGTGTGGTTTTAAGATAAAGGGTTGCCCATAAATTACGTCACACTTTAGTGGAGGTGAGGGGAAAGGGGTTGGTGGTTTTGTGACGACTCATACAGAACTTGATACTAAAGAGTTACAAGGTTGTGAAGGAAAGAAAGAGGAGGAAGAAGGCGGTCTAAAACGGTTAAAAATTGCGTGAGATAATTTGTGGACAACTCTTAAAGAAGAGCATAAATTAATACATCTTATTTAAGACCTTATCGAAATTTTAAGGCAGAATACGGGCCAAGTTGCTGATTAAATAGGGTTCAACTTTGAACCTTGATATTCAAATTTTTTATTAATTCTGTTGGGGAGGAGAGGGGATGCATACCCCATATATCTTCCCTGGATCTGTTACTAATTCCCCCGAGGCCGGACATGTGATTGAAAATTTTAAAAACTTTAAGTGATGTTAATAAAATATATCAATTTTTACAAACGAGTTTTACAAAAACTATATCATATAAATATAAGATTCAGTTAAATTTCAAATTATGGTCACAATTATTATTGCTATTATTGTTATTAATATTATTGTTATTATTACTGTTATTGTTATTATTAACACCTGAGTTCGGACCCGTAAAAATATGGGTCTTTGTAAGTCTATTCCAAACCGAATTTTTCTATACTTTTTCTTTATATACCATAGCTTTCCGGATCCGTAAAATACGGGTCTTTACCAAACTTATCATATCTATGCATATCTATTCCACACAGATTATTTATATACCTATTCCTTATTTACTTCAATATTTTTTAGTAAAACAATTTATTCTGAAAAAAACATTCAAGAGCAACCTAATATCTGCACCTTTTCCGCATACGTAGAGCTTATAAGAGACTTATAATTAGGTTTCTTTTACTGCTAAATGCCTTTCATTGATAGCTCAGTGGTTAGTTTTTTTTAGCTGTTGTTTTTTTTTTTTAAAGAAAGGAAAGAGGGAGGAAGGGGGGGAGTTTAAGACCTCTTCTCAGCGCACAGTGGGTCAGATATCGAAAAAGCTGGGTAAAATAAGAAAACGTTGAATGATTTCCCTGAAATTTCATGGCAAATATTTTTTGAGGTTACTAATTAAAATTTTGTTTTAAAAAAAAGAAAAACAAAGTGGCGGATCCAATATGGCGGATATTTAAATGTTAAAAAATTATTTAAATTGTTCAATGGATCAAATGTTGGAAGATAGTGTTAAATATAGAAAAAACATTTTGTTTCAGTTACAATGATTTTGGTTTTTTTTCATCTTGATCTGACTCTTTGTAGAAATCTTCATTATATCAAAGTTTGTTTCATCGGCATCTGCGTCAGAGTCTTCATAATCTTCTGTTACAGGAACCAAGAGGGCAACAGCCTCTGGCAACAAAGTCTTTATTTTTTTGGTATTGATTTTTGTAGAGATGAAATGTAGGGGTCTGTGGTTGCCAACAATCTCCTGAACACATCTTCCATTGTCTTAACTCTTGAAAACTTTCGAGAAAATCCCAAACGATATTGCTTTATTAACTTATTGGTTGATTCTTGAGCATCCTCGGACAGTTGACCAATGGGTAAAATGGCCGAAGAAATTATATCTGGTCCGTGAATCATCAATCTATGTACTGATGCTGGCATGTTGTACCAGGGATACTCTTTGATATAGTGTCTTGCAGTTGCTAAAGCGTAACCTCAAAACTTTTCAACGTCAATTTCATGTCCAATCAAAATTGTTTGCAAAATTATATGAAAACGGTGGATTAATTCTTCGGAAACACCAGTTATCAAGGATGACGTTTGAGTGTTTTCAAAGAAACGTCGAGAGATGTTTCCGTCGTTCGTGCTGCCCAACCCTTGCTTTGGCATGTCGACTAAAATTCCTAGCTACTGTTTGAAAGCTTTTTGGATGCATGCTTTTATTGTTGCTTTTTCCTGCTTATCTTCTTCTTTACGCGCATGCTATTTTTTGTATTTTTTTTGTATCCCAAATGAATACAGCATTCAAAACATCGAATCCAGGCGTGTAGAGTTGACAGTCCGTACTGTAGATAATCAGTGGTTACCGGTCTTTGCTAAACTTCATCAATGTTATTAATTTGCTTTAAAGTTGCCTGGCAGAGATAACACCGCTGCGCAGATTTTGTGTTAGTGATAGCATTGCATACTTTAACATCTAGCATGTTCATACTTAAACTGTATTGAATAAAAACATTTTTCATATAAAGGATTGTTTTAAATGGTTGGAGTTGTTCGATCTGTTTGTCAAAATGCGTTTTCTCATTTATAAAAGTTTCCTCGGTTTCCCTTGTAAATTGCAATTTTAGAGGTCTGCAAAAGAAGGTTGAAGATGGCTTCGGATTACTCCATAAGAGATTTTCTTCTTTTGTTTCTTGATTTACACCTACAGTTGCAATGGAACAAGCGAAGTAAAAAGTAACCTTGCGTCTGATATATTCGGATCTTCAAAAGTCATATTATAAATGCTTTGTCCGGATGTTCCGATAAGCCCCACTTACAAATCTAAGTCATATTCAATATTTCTGAATCGCTCTTATATGTAATATTGTCTTGGTTCAGCAGTAAAATACGTTGAAAAGTGTGGTCTAATAAAGCTTGCAACTGTACCTCAGCTTTTGATTCGGTAAAGTTTAAGGTGTTGTCTGGAGGGTAGCAACATTTTTTTGCTGCCAATACAGCTGAGTATGGTGGATAAAATGTATTTAAGCCTTTTTTTTTGTGCCTGATTTCTCAAATTCTGGTACAAATCTTTCGTCAAACTTAGATCTAATAAAAGTGCTAGATCTTCATCTGCATCATAAAAAGCTGGCAATGATAATGATAGTTTAAAACCTTCCTTGTATTTTGTTGCCTTGAATGGACTTGACAGTGTAACGTCATTCACAATCTTAGCAGCGTCTGAATGCCCTGAAGATCGAAGACTCATTTGCGTAGCAAATGATAGTTCGGCAGGACTGAACTTCATACGCATCTCTTTAGTCCTCCTTCTTTTGGACCAATCAGATAAAGTTTCGAAACTTCCTGTGGGTCGACCCGTTGATTTATTTACAACTGCACCTTTTTGCACCAATCTGAAAATATACTAAAGTTTTTAACCAGTTTTCTTTCTTTTTGAAAAAGTAATCTTGTCGTTGAGCTGCTTCCTTATATATATATATATATATATATATATATATATATATATATATATATATATATATATATATATATATATATATATATATATATATATTTTACCATATAAATTTATTCAAGTCATAAAGCATAATATATATACAAATAGCAGGGGCAAGAAGAAGACATAATTTGTTTTATCACCAAGCCCCTTAATCTATACCGTAAATATAAAATAGCGTAATAAATTAAAAAAAAAAACACAATATAATATAAAACTCTTTCTTAAAATTTTATAAATAAAAATTTAAGAAAGTGTTGA